GCTACTTGAGACAACTGAAGCCATTTAAATACATGTTACTAGTTTTATTGTACTTAAGTTACCTTACTTAACGAGGGTAAATTGTTTATAGTAGTTTGAAAAACTTTCAAACTAGTTTACAATATTCCTACACTCTTTTTAAACTTGTCTAAACTGTTATAAAGGCATTAGAAAGAAAATGTTTTAATTATATAAAGTATGAAGATGGTTTACGTATTTATAATAATGATTTTTTAACTTTTTTTTTTGACAATGTGATAGTTTATTATTATAATATATTAAAATACTTTAGATGACAATCTTAAATCAATGATATTAAATAAAATATTAAAAACGAATAATTTATTATTAATATATTATTAAAAGAAGTCCCTTTAGGCAAAGTTCCGAGATACTGTTTTTTTAAGTTACTTCTAGAAGGCTTTTGTAAGCAACAATTATTACAATGTCATAAAAAACCTACTTCGAAATTTTACATCCAAATTGTGAATTGTTAAAACATTGTATTGGTTCAGCAGCAATAAGCGTAGTGCGTTTAAAAGTGGCTCAACAATATTCAACATTCAAATGGTACGTTTTAAATTGAAACGATTAGAAAAATCTGTCTGTTTTGTTTTTGTTTGCAGATTGCACTGTTCACGTTTTGTATTCGATTTTTGCGTTTGTTTTCAAAAACGGTTGGTTTTGAAATGTGAGAATAATACTTTTTTTATTCAATAGTTCATTTATCTGTAAAATATTGTTTGGTACTTGGCACTTTATATGGATTTTGTTTTGATATGTTTTTAACGACTTAAAGTCGGGAGCTATAAAGTTGTGAATTATAAATAAGAACTTTTCATCAATTCTGATATTCTACGCTGACATATATACTTTAAATACCAAAGTAAATGACACAAGTCCCTACTCTGAATATTCATCAGTGTTTTCGTTTAAGGTTGTATAGATTTAGGCAAATGAATGATATTTAATCATTGCATATATATTCAGTAAATAAAGCGTGATATTGGGATATTTTGTGATTTATAATCTATTCTTGTCGGAGGTTTATCTTATGCTGGCCCGAGGCGAGGACAGGATTACATTCGATGCCAATTGTATCCGCCTCGCGGCGCATTTAACGGTTTTTACGTTATCTAACTCAAAACGTGATTGAAATTTTTGTATCCCCTTTTTTATTACTTTTCATCGAAAATTACACATCCAACTCTCGTAAAATGCTCGACGCGAATCGATGTGCAAATGTTTTCACATTATTAAATTCGGATCAAATGTGAAATGCTCTTAACAGTTTACATCAGCTCCATTTGGAATTATTAAAAATATCAATTTTCCCAAAACCTTTTATAAGATTAATTAATTAAATTTAACAGATAAATGTATTGTTTTATGGAATTTCTTTTATTTTTATGTGTAAAATTAAAATATTTATTGAATACCCTCCGCAGCACCTAATTGATTAATTATTCACTGAAAACTGTGAAATTAATATTCCAATACGGATGAAGCGTTAACTTGTACTCTGACATTATTAAGCAATATTGAGTTTCAGTTTCCTCGAGCTTTCACGCATTTTTAATAATTGAAACACGTAAATATCTAAGGAGCGCGATTTGAACTTCGAAAGCTTTTAAGCTTAAAACTATTGAGCATGTATTAGAGATAATAAATAAAGCAATTTGCTAATGACTACACACACTTTGCATTTAGTTTCCTACATATCAATATGTTTTTAATAACATTTTCACTAAGATCTTTTAAAATATATTGATCAATAATCACTGCAAAGAAAATAAAATTACATTTATTTCAATCCCGTTTACAAAAGAATAAATTGTTAAATTTCTCGTTATGTTATTCGATATCAGTCAAAGGACGAAACCGAGGACTTTTTGCTATAAAACTCAATAAGTATCACGCCTGACACGATGTGATGTTCTTTCTAAACGCTATCACATCAAATTTCAAATGCGCTCGAGTTGCGTCCGAGGGATCGGCAACTGCTTGAGTCACGAATTTACTTGACTTCTTGGCCGGGGAAAGCTATTCATCTCGAACAATATAAGAAAAGGCGTAATCATGTCGGAGAGGAATCACGTTCAACGACCCACAACGCCGGAATTCCGTTAGATCCGCCAGTGTCACTATCGTTGTAGATAATTTTCCTTACAAAAAGCATCTTTTGCTTGCGTTTCGCTATCAAAGTTGGGATAACAAGAAGAAGGGGTTTACCCTCTGCATTGAACGAATCGAAATGGTAAAGGATTGGTTTACAATAAACTATCTTAATTATAATTTCCTCTTTCATACACCTATATTCATGTTGGAATAATTAAATTCGCTTCCCTCTTATTATCGAATATTATATGCAGGAAACTATCAACATTGTGTTATTATCTAGTAATTTGAGTGTTACATGACATTGTACAGATGTGGTAGAAAATAAGCGTCCTCAACTCTTCTAAGTACTAAAAATAACAAACCAGGGACTTAAAATTGATAAGTCAAACATTAGGTAAAAATATTAATTACAAACTTTAACTTAATAAGGTACCCTAATTCTATATTGGAAGATTTAATTTTTGGTTATTTAATTCGTTTTAAATATCGAACAAACTCAATCAAGAACCAGTCAGTGTAAAACGCTATAAAACTTTTTTAAATCTTAATATTGAGTTTGTAAAAAGAGTTTTTAATCTTCATAACACAATACTCTTCTTAATGCCTGATATTTCTATAAGTGAACAGTTCTTATTTTACATTGTTGTTATTTAACAGTAAAAAATTAAAACAATTTGCGGTATCCTAGTAAAGAGTTATATTTCTAGAAATATTTTTACTTCGCGTCTAGTCCTTAACATTTTTCTAGACTCAAGAAGAGAATGACACAACGTTGTGATAATGGCCTTTCCCGGGCCGTAGGGAAATGGCCGCGGCCCGACAAATAATACGATAACGTCTTCATTACCCACACGTCGACCCTCTTCCCGACACGTCTTCGTCACCCCTTCAATCTTTTCGCGGATATTACACTGAAATTATGACAAAAGTGCTAGATCGAGGTCTGCATAATGAATCTCCCATGATAAATGAGACACTTCTATTTCCATTGAAGTTTGCTTTATTCCAGGTTCAAACAAAAAACAGATTTTTATACAAATGTAATTTATTAAATCATTGTCCAATTTCATTTGATTTGATGAATATCAGCATTCATAGCAGCGAGGGAGATTTATCAGGACTTCGGGTAACGGAAGCAAGATGTGTTGTTTTTATTAGATAGTTTTCATTTATAAAGTCAAAAAAAACAACAATATAACTCTCGCTTGTATTTGGAGTAGACAGGGATTACGAATTTAAATTTGGCGCAGACGTGGCACGCCTCTTTAATCTCTTTAACATTCACACATATACGTAAGCATGCTTGTTGATTTCGGGTACTCTTTTATGTATTTCTCAATTTTGTTAACTTTAATTCTATTTGTATGTCTTGTTTTACAAGCAAACAGTTATGTACCGATCAAACAATTATGTAAAGCAATCAAGACAAACTGGCCATAAATCTAAGCAATTTGTCTAATCACAGCTAATTAATTCATCAAGATCGTATTGCTATACTCATTACTTTAGAATTGGGTCTATAATGATGTGATTTATGTTATGCTCGTAACATATTCAAACAATGTTATTAATTATTTTACTGATATAATATTATATATAAATAAATAGTTTGTCACTTAATTTTCTTTTTTTCTCCCTTCAAATGTAATATTTTTTACGAATCTTCTAATTTATTATTTTATAAATAAACTCAATCCTTTATTTTCTTTCTTTTTAATATTATAATTACCATAAAATCGGTAAGACTAATATCATGACATTAAAAAATTGTCATAACGCACAACGATATTCAAAAATGTCGTTTATACCTCAACAACAGAGTCAATTTTCCAATGGCAAAAATACTCTCACATCGTGTGATACGAACAAGGATAGTACACAAACAGGAGGGTAAATAATTTCTAGTCGAGGAAAGGGTTTTTCGTTCGCAATATAACAGGTAGAACATGTGAAGTATCTACTTCAGTTCTCGTTATTTCCTTTGTTGCTTACACAGAAAAGGTGATTGTTCACTGCAAAAAGACGCATTGAATATTTACCTAAGACAAAATGTTTGACACCTACTTCTGGTTTTCAAATAGCTTTTAGCACATAGCTGAGGTAGAGTTTATGTCTATTCTTTCTGACACTTAACTCTTTAAGCGACTTTTTATTTTAGATTTTCGTAGTATTGGCACTGATGTAGTTCCAAGACAGTTTCTAAAAGTAATCAATTTTTTTAGTAAGAATTTTTAAATAACATTAAAATATTATCTGGCATTGGTGGTTTCAGATTTATTGATATATAAAACTAAACTGACTGACTCCTGCATTAATATATCTAAAGTTAATTTAAGGCGAACTTTGTTATATAGGCTGAGGATAGTTGTAGTTAAAATAACGTATACACTCATTATCAAAATAAATCCTAAATTCTTCTAAATAATTTAAAAAACATCTATCTACATACATACATCACAAATCTACTTAAATAGATTGCTCCGAGTATTAAGCAGTAAATTTGGCAAAAATACTTTAAAGGGAAAAGAACTTGCTTTTTCCAAACTGCATGTAGCCAATACGATAGTGGAATTGGTTTGAAACAGATAGACTATAATTAAAGTGCATTCTATTTAAGATTTAACGTTATGTGAAATATACATTTGTCTAGTGTGTAGACCTTAACTAGAGTTAGAATGTTTTATAGAGTTCTAGAATATATACTAGGAGGTCGATGACCAATTAGTTGAGAAAAAACAGTCCTAATCGGAGACCAAAATGCGAAATTAATTAGGTCATTAACTCATGTTGTATTTAGCGAAATGCAGTAAAATATACTTCTAAATTACTTATAATAATGATGGTATGTATTACATACTCACCAATCAGTTTTTTTTCAGGTCTGCTTCGCCTCCAACAGTTGTACGAACGACTACAACCCGGTAATGCAACGTTCCGCATTTCGAATGTAAAACGCGTCACGAATGCCACAGATGTTGTTGAGTTTCTTGGCGCACTGGAGAAGCTCGACCGTTGGACCAACAAATACGTTGTGCTCGACTCCTGTACACGAATAGCAAAAGAAACACTGATTTTGCACGTACGTAACGTACAACTTGGCCGCAGGAACTACCATTACTTCTTAAGTGGCCTGGTGAGTATCCAAATTCCATTTAAGCCATCGAATGCGGTGAAGCGTCTCGTTTACTATTTAAATTAGCGTCGTAAAATATTTATAGTCTAGTCCATGCCAATAATAGGTATTTATATCTCTCTGAGTATTCAGATAATAGTTAATCACGATCGAATCACGTACAAGCAATACTAAAACTGACAGTCGACGTACAGCCTAAAGCGTTTTAGCGGTGACAGCAAAATGTGGGCCGTGTATAGCTAAAGTCAATTACTAATCTCTAAATGATAACCGCTTGAAACAGTCTGTACAAACTGCTTTGAACAATTGTATGGGCAATAGATAAAGATTCCAGTAAAAATATAATATGTAATAAGTAAAAAAGTCGTAATTGAGTCACAAACAATTCATTAGTTTTCATTTTCATTGTACGTTATTTTAACTTCAATACTCTGTGCATTTATCGTAAATTGCTCAACACACAGTATTAATTACCAGAAATACAGTACAAACAACCATTTACGAGACAGTGTTTACTCAAATTGGTTTAACAATTTTTTGTGAAATTTTATACAATTAATTTACTTTAATACTTAATTATAATAATTGTATGTTTGTATTAATACAGGTTATGGACGATCGCTGGGAGAAACAAGTCACCGAATTCGGCGCTATAAATGTTACAGGATTTCGTGTCGTAGATTTTTCTCGAAAATTCGTTCGAGACTTTTCTGATATGTGGAGAAGGGGCACTATATCGGTAATTTTTTTTATTATTTTCACAAAACATTTATAGAATAATTGATCCCTACTTAGAAAATGCTGTATCTCAATATAGAATAGAAAGCTCCAGATTATTATGAAGGAATATTTAACAATGGTTCCACGTAAATCCGACGAATCAATACCCACTCAAAAATCGTTCTTTTTTTATTATAATTCCTGACAAGCTTATCGTTATTTCAAAATGAAATAATGACTATAGTTTAAGCATTTGAAAGCTTGCTTTTTTACGATGAACAAACAATATTTTAAGCAAAATTTTCAAATATTTTTATATCCTATTTTGAAATTGATAAATAACAAATTATTTAAAATATACCCACAAAAGGAGATATTAATTGGGTTAGTTTAATTTAGTTTTACTACATATGCTGAAGACGATATTATTAGATAACTTAATCACTTGAAATAGCTAAAGAAATAAAGGGTAGTAATCAACGCTGGGAAAAAGTAGGTTTGTAGATCACCATTACGATTTTACGTGATAGTAATATAAACCACAGGCGAGAGAATAATTTCTGGAAGGAGCACGTACTATGATGATTATGAATTTGTAATTATGCATTCAGTCGGCGAACTTATTATATTGTTTTCTTTAAAAGCAACCGTTTGGTTGGAATTCTGCACCAAATGTTTTGTTTCTTGTTGAATATAAATTAGTAGTACAATTAAATAGTTGTTTATCGTTTGAATTTGTAAATAAATACAAAGATATCGAGAAATATTTTACTAGTATAAAGACGGCAAATAAATTTTTTACACAAAACACATTGTAGATATTTTCTAAATAATTTATAAATAATGTAAAACAACACTTTGAAATAATCGTATACATAATATATAACAATGTAAATAGAAAACAATTTAAATAACAAAGTTTCTGGTACGCTAACAAATGGGAAAACCGATTCTAATCTGCTACCTTTTTCTTTGCAGACTACGTCCCAAAGCTTTAATATGTTGTTTGCTTTAATTATTCGGTTTCGATTTATGTGTAAATTTGTACAGGCACAAGCTGCTTTGATGTACGATGGAGTCCAAGTTCTTATTGATGCTATATTTCGTTTACTGCGAAAGAGGCCAGACATCTTAAGAGGACTGACACGACGAAGTGCCAGCAGTAGTTCCAACAAAACTCTGGACTGCTATCCCAAGGTTGGAACCGGGACTTATGAGATCGGAGACAAGATCTCAAGGTTGATAAAAAAGGTTAGTTACAATATACATAGCTTGCGTACTCGCAGTATTTATCAATGTAAAACATAATCTCGGATGTTTCCTGTCGGTTCAATGACCTTTCTGATCAATCGGCCAATTGGGATTTTTTCTCCTATTGGGCCGATTGAATTTATAGTCAATCGGACCAGTAGAAATATAGGTTTTTCCATCATTTTAATGATGCCATGGACTCAATCCGCCTAATAAGAAAAAAGTTCCTACTATGCCGATTGATCAATAGGCCGATATGTTTAACGGGAAACACTGATAATTTTCCATTCCATTCACTGAAGTCACCGTACGCGGACTGAAGAGGACTATCGACTACTTATAGCTGTCCGTGTACGGCGGCTCTAATTGCTGATGAAAAATCTCCTTTTCAGTTTATTTAATTGATGCGAAAGCTTATCTCAGTATATTGAGCGCTAATGAACACTTTGTTGTGATTTAAAATCCCTGTAGCACTTGCGAGCGATTGTTGAACATTCAAATAAATATGCGGGCGATTGAACATTATTCTCAGTATTCAATGCGCAAAGAGAGCGCCGACTTTGATTGTGACAAAATGTCTACCGTATTAACAACGTCAATTTCGACTGAAGTTACTCCATAGTGTACGTAATAGCATGCCATATGTTTCAGGAAACATATTTTAATGTGTAGCATATTAAATTGTTGCAGTAAGTACTACGCTTAATACATGAATATTTATTTTTATTTTATACCAACCATTTATTTACTCTCATGCACGAAATTACTCGTATGATATAAGTAACAAATAAAATAAAGAATGAAAACCTCATGTGAAAATGTGGGTAATCTGAAAACGTGATTTAATAAACTGCATATCAAATTTTGCCAAGAATCAAGACCGCAAACAACATTTTAAATATTCAAAAAATCTACGTATTAATATGATTTTGTCAAATTCTTTACACTTCTTCTTTCCCTTTTTCTTCTTCAGCATAAGGATGTCCACGAAGCCCACCCCAAGATTGACCAAATGATCGGTTCCCTTCCGCCCTTATCATAGATCACATAACCCTAATTTAATCTTATTTACTAACTATATTGAAAAAAACTAAGTACTGTAACGTTACAAATATACTTATATTTAAAGTTTTCCTTTGTGTTATATAGATACAAAAAGAGTTTATGTAAAATTATGTCTATTCATAAAATAAAAATAGTTCCTGTTGTGAATATTGTAAGGCGACGTCGGCAAAGCCAAAAAGCCGAGCAGAATAATGTCTTGTATATATGAGAAGTGTCCTCTCCCTTTGAGAAAGCAAACATCGTAAAGGGATGGCTCAAGTTTCGACGTTTTACTTCCATCGTGACTACGAAAGGTGATAGTTTTATTAAAACTTTTATCAAAATATTTATTTTAGCAATTGGGTATCTAAAAATAACGCGCAACATACAGTACCTATTTCTTGACAAAAATCTGACCAACTAACATAAGCTCAACGCAAAGATATGACGTTTTCAGGTTATTAGAACCCGAATGTCTTTATCGTTTACTTATGTTCTCTTTTGTCAATAATGTACAAAAGTTTTGTACATGAAAATCTTTTTGGATATTCAGTAATAAAAAGTATATAAATATTTTTCTTATTACAGCTTAGAATACTTTTAAAGTAGTCTCGCAAAATCTTATATTTTATGAGTGTAACTATGACATAGCGCGAGAGCTACATTTATTACGGTACCGTAGCATATGTAGCCGACACATGCTACGCTGCCGTAATCGTAGCTCACTTGCTACGTAATCACTGCGCAGCGTAGACACCAATACAGATTCACATCTTGAAACTCAACACCATGGCAAAAAAATCCATCTTATCTGGTACTGAGGGAATTCTTTATTTGACTTAAAATATTGTATTAGATTTATGAGCTTTTACAATTCATTATGAACACACAACAGTCAAAGTTTTCTAGACTACTGCTAAAAATTCAAACAACTTGAAAAGTATTAAATTTAAACCTTAACTAAAAGACAAAGCCCAAGTTTTGTCTGATGTTAATCTTTTTATCTTTAGGATAGACTTTTAATTAGATATATTACATACAAATGGTCTTAACCTAAAATATAACAACGGTCAACGTACAAAGAAACAGTAATCTCGTTAATTGGATTAGGATAACGTTCACATCAGGACATAAAATAACCAAGATATTTTAAACGCTGGCGGCTAATAAACAATAAACAAATTACCTGCTCTCTATGGTTTCGTATCACTTAATTAATTATTATCGGCAGTGTGCGCTAACGTAACAAAATGTCAAAAGCTAATTTAAAAAATGTATTATAATAAAATGAAGAGTTAACAATTTTATAATGAAAAACATTATAGGGATTTACCTATCATTTTATTTTAGCCACTTACACCAAAAGTTATCAATAGAACATTAAAAGAAGCCGCGTGTAATACTCAACGTCACTGAATCGTCGCTAAGTGTGCCCCTTAGTTTTCCTATTTGTAAATCTACTTCAAAGAGGGTGATTTAGGTTAAATTTAAATCTAAACTATGGGTGTGCTTTAATCATCCTTAAATATCACTGAGTATCAGTTAATTAACAAATGAAAATTTAATATGCAAACCTTAAAACCATTGAAAGAGTCAAATGTAAAGTCAAAATCAATTTCAAGTCAGATTTCTGTTAAAATCAATTTTGAACCGGCACCGAGTGAGTATACGTTAGAGGATTCAAATTAAACGAAATTGCAGAGTTGAACACAGGTGCTGAATATGAGGCCTTCCTTTATATAGAGAGTGCGCAGTGGCGTAACCTCTGGCGATTAATGAGTTCTCACCTGACGCCTAATTAGTATGACGCTTGTACTTACTAATCGCCAGTTTCGCGGAAAGTTACAAACCCTTTTTATAACACACTCTACTAATTGCCCTGTTGATTTATGACAAATTTCGCTTTGTAAACCAATTGTTCTAGAACTTTCTACATGTTTAAATATAATAGGGGATGTAGTAATGTTTACAATATTATTTTCTTGATAATTGTTTTAATAACAAATTACTTTTCTATTCTGACGTTTATACTACTATTGTATTGAGATTATGAAATGATTTCCTTGCGTTGTAATATACTTATAATGTTCCAGTGACATAATTATTTTGTTTCTACCTGTACACGATGCGTACTTCATGACTGTAATACGTGCCAGCAATTATTTTTTCTTTTTATTCTGTGTTTGTGTATTTTTCTTTATCTTTACATTATTTTATGAATTGTTGATTTGAAGAAGAGACGATATGATATTGTTTGCTTCAGACGGACTTAGAAGGATTGACCGGCCCTCTCAAGTTTAACGATAGAGGTATTCGTCGCAATTTTAGCCTTGAAGTGGTGGAAATGACTGTTGCAGGGGAAATGGTGAAGGTATGAAATAAATTTAATATGTATTCGATGTAAAAAAGAAAAACTTTAAATTTCACCGCGTAAGTTTCCACCACAATAGAATTTTCGGAATTTTACCTATACACCAAAGAATAGAAAAGTTCTTATAACTATTCCAGTTTCTCATTTTAAAATTTTACAACACTAACTTTAACAATAAACAAGTCTAACAGTGTTTCAACAAAATGTACGCAAAACCGTTACCGTGTTTTTTTTTTAATAATTTAAATTTTTATCACTTTATAAATGTACTTTTAAATACACAGAAATAGCATTATAATCAATAAATGATTACCTTTTTACTAGAAATATGTCTAGGATAACTAGAATTACAGAAACAATCTTTAAATTTTTTAGAATCATTAATTCTCGTTTAACTTGTGTTACAATTAGTTAAAAATAAAAATACACTCAGAATGATTAAACAATTGTTATATGTTTTAAAAGATTTAATTACTTAACAGATTGGTACATGGTACGACTACAAAGGCTTGATCACAAAGAACGAAGGGCCAGGAGCAAAAAGCCCTGCTGGCAAATACAATCGTAACAAGACATACATTGTGTCCACTATTGAAGAACCTCCCTACGTGATTCGTGATCTAGAACCAACTGTAACTTATCCGTTCAGAGGCTTTTGTGTTGATCTCACCCACATGATTTTTGAGAGACTGGAGATTACTTGTAAGTAACACTGTTGAAATAAATAAAGACAAAAAATATTAAATATCTGTATTTTGTAAAATGTACATTATAACTAATTGTGCAACTATTGAATACTATGAATACAAGGTTTTATTCTGTTATCAAAATATGCAATGCATTTGGTAATTAATCTCGAAGGTTCATTTCAATATTTTTTTTACTAGTTATAATATATGGATTGTTTTATAGATGAACTGCGCACAGTTAAAGATGGTAAATACGGTAAAGAGAATACCAAATTTGCTGGCGGCTGGGACGGAATGGTCGGAGAACTTTTAAGGAAGGTACGTGCTCACTCGTATTTATCTAATTTCGTTGAGTGTTTTCAATGAAGCACAAAACGCTCTATACACATCCTAACCTAATTCTTTTGTAAGTGAAGGTTGCTTGACAAGATAGGCTTTTAAGTACCCTCGAAATATAATTTAGTCCACTTTTACATTTATTCTTGGAAAAGCTTATAAATAAATAGCAATATACTTGATGAACAAAAAGCAACTTTACTGAAAGCAATATAAGTAATTTCCTTTGTAACAATGTTTTGAAGTAACATAGTTAAGTAATAAGTACGAAAATTGTGATTTATTTTTTTTACGTTGTACCACTGTCTACTTGTCAAGTCATGTGGACCTTTTAGTTTTTATTTCGTAGGTTATAAATATCTCGCTATAAAGGATAAAATAGTATTGTTTTGGCAGTTGCTATGTATATGATTCAGAATGCAAAAACTTTGCCGACTACCCTTTTCTTATATATATCGTAAAAAAGTCGTAAAATATTTCGTTTTAGTATACACTACGCACGGGTGCCTACTAAAAATAATTCAGGGTGTTAAATATAGTAAATACCAAGTCATCCTGTAACCCACGTAAACGATTTCCCTTTTCGTAGTAACTCAAAAGGCATAAATCTTGTGCGCCTTTATCGCAAATATCTACTTGTATTATATTTCGGACGATACGATCATAAAAAAATATCACGTAGTTTATTTTTATTTCTTACTTCATCTGTATTACAATCAGGTAGAATTGCTTTATAGGTTTTTTCTTTTTTAATTGAATAAATAGGTGTTCATATTAATAAATTATTTTAACATTTTTTCTGTTTTATTTAGGAGGCAGATTTAGTGATTGCCCCATTGATAGTTACTGCAGATAGAGAACGTGTGATTGAGTTCAGCAAACCATTTTTGTCTTTCGACTCAAAACCGGAGAGACCTGAATTCGAGAACGGAAGCACAATATTTACCTTTCTTAATCCGCTGTCTAAAGAGATATGGGTAAGATTATCAAAAATCAAATTAAACTAAAGTTATGAAAACTGTCCGATTTCATATACTCAGTGTTTAAAGGTCCATTGCCACGTTTCAATATTCCTAATGCACTTCTGTAAATTCCAAAATATACGCATTAATGATCATTGGCATAAATCAAATTAATTAATTTCCTTTTTATAAAAATGAGTATTCCAATTTTATTATTAACATTTGTTATGTTTTCAGATTTGCATCTTATTCAGTATATTTGCTGTAAGCATCGTACTATTTCTTGTGTCGAGATTCTCTCCTTCCGAGTGGCGCCTCGTATCTGTTACAGATTCACAATCGAACGAACACAATGAAGTCGCTACCATCAAGGTATGATATTTGTATTTCAAAAATGTTAATGGTTTAGTCTTGCACATACATTTTCAATGTTGTAAAAATGGTTAATTAGTGGAATATTGTTAATAAGTTCAACAATAATGTTCTCCTTTTCTTGCTTGATACGTATTACTCATATTATGATTCTTTATTCCAGACGACAGTTATAAATGAATTCAGTTTCTGGAACTCTATTTGGTTTTCGATCGGTTCCTTTATGCAACAAGGCAGTGATATCTCTCCGAGGTTTGTAAATAATTTTGTATTTTAAAATCAAAACAAATCTCTTTGTTTACCGTTTATTCGTTTGTTTGACTTTTACCAAAAAGAGAACATGTACAATATTTGAATAACATCAGATAAAAATATTCAAGTAAAATATTATTTCAGGTCTCTCTCTGGACGTATAGTTGGGGCAGTTTGGTGGTTTTTTACATTGGTTGTAATATGTTCGTACACAGCTAATCTGGCGTCGTATTTGACATTGGCTCGTATATCTGAACCAACACAGCTATACAATAAAATAACTACTTGCCCTGAGGTAAACTACATTACTAACATGCAAAATTATTAGTTTTCTTTAATTTGTTAACTATTTTTTTAATATTTTTTTATAACAAAAACCAACTTGAAAATACAGACGACAATCCTTTTAGAATTCGGATTACAATCAAATTATAATTTTATTTTAGGACTTAATTTACGGACAGCAAGAACCTGAACCCACTGAACCGCCTACAACAGAATCTACCGGAATTGTTGACGAGCATGGTTGGCTAGCTTTCCTATTAGATCGTTCAGCTATGCGTTTGAAACGGAACAATATAGACAAACCGTGCGAGATGATGGTAACCACTACTAAACCAGGAATCTTAGACTTCGCCATCGGTTTTCCAAAGGGATCGGAACTGAGGTTTGTATATTGGTTTACTTATTATTACGCATTGCGAATTGCTAAGCGATTTATATAATGCATTTGCGTTGATATGCGAAGCATAGCGATTTTACTAATTCAATAAATGCGTTATTTTATAACATCTATTGAAACAGTTGAGCACTTTTTAGGGATGGAGTAAATATAATCTTACAAAATATGCGGAAAGAGGGTGATTTACAAATGCTTCTTCGCAAATGGTTTATCAAGACTGAATGTGATATTCAAGATCAGGTGTGTTACTTCAATAGTTTTTTTTAATCTTACCATTTTTCCCTAACAAATTTAAAAAAAAAATTGTTTCATCAGGTACAACTTGTTTCATCTTTTATTGAATACCTTTATTTTTATTAAATTAATATAACAAATGTATATATTTTAGACTTTGCATGGACTTGAACTAACATTGGGACAAATTGCTGGACTGTTTTACATTTTGATGGGTGGTTTGCTACTGGCATTAGTCGTTGCACTATTTGAATTCTTCCAATACGGTCGTGTTGAAGCGGCTCGAGCTAATATACCACTGCGTGCAGCATTTAAAGCCAAATCGAGATTGCCAAACCGTCCCGAAATTAAAACCACCCAACGTCCTGCCCCGCAACGTGATCAAGATCGCCTCGACTGGAGCAGCGGACCGTACTCTGGAGTAAGCTATTTTAATACTACATTAACCTTTGCCAAAATATCTCTAAAAGTCAATAATTAAGTATGACTACACAATAAAAAGTATTTAATAAATTATTTTTTTAATAAACATTCACAATTTAATTTTTGTTATTTAAATTTGTGTAGTTTTTTTTTTCTTAATTTAATTTAATTCTTATTCGATAACAATAAGTTTTATGCAAACATCTGAAAAAGTGGGGATATATGTGTGATGATACTATTGGAAAGATTGGCAAAGGAAATAGGGAATCTCATCTGGAAGCTTGGTGTATTTATTAACTGTTAAAATATCAAAGCTTTGTAATATTTTATTAGTGTTTGACGATTATTTTTTCTCTGTACAGTATTACACTCCGGCCAACCAGATCGCTCAGGAGGAGACTGCCCTGCACGCCTCTTTCACACAAGTCTGATCTTCAACCCGGGACGCGGGCATCGTCCGTCGTGCGTCCCACGCTCGCCAGTTGTCTGACTCTCTGGAACTTTACCAACTGTAAGTTTCACGAGCATACATCTCGGCTAGCGAACATCTTCAAGCGCTTACAATCTTAAAGACATTTTCGTCATATCGTGAGTGAAATATGCCATACGTACCAATTATATGTAGCTGTACGGGCAATTTCATATCAACGTTTGATGTATTAGATTGTGCGCAAAGGATACATTCCTTAAGTTACTCTATAGATAGATATGGAATAATCAAATTTAACGTAGTATAATTGCGTATCATTGATTCGCACATGCGATATTATCAATCTGTAACTGTTTAATATTCCGTATGTACGTAGTTGGGTTTTGTCGACCTATTTCAATTTCATGTTATTTGATAAGACATTAATGATAATTGATACTGTGAAATAGTTGTTTCATTTCTTTCTTATACTGTTAAAAGGATCATTGTATACTCACATCTTCGAAACCCTTTCATTGTCTTTATAATATGTGACTAATAATGATAGGTTTCATGCATTGTCATAACTCGTATTACAACGTAACAAAAATAAACGTCTCTTGCCTAATTTTTTTAACTGCGAAATCTTAATATAGTAGATAAACATCAGGGTCGTGTATTATATAACGAGTTTAGTGAAAAAAAAACTTTTTTCAATTAGACTAAATAAATTAACTTTCCGTAACTGAAAAAATACACGGTAGGTAGCTTAAGACCCGGAAAAAATTAAATTTTTTAACCGAATGACTCTAAATAATTAATATTTCGGAGCGACTTTAACTTTGCTTTTTTACGGTACAAATAGTAATAATTTCTTTGAAAAATCAATTTATTATTATACCAAAAAAAAACTTTTGAACATAAAATTGACTCTTTTTTACTTATTATAAATAACGTACGCATTGAATGATTTATCCTCGAATTTCCATTGCAATATATTACCATATGTATGGGATATTGTTCACAGTTTCAATTGAAATAAAATTTGAGTACTCAGCCGAAATGTAGCGCAATATTTTAGTGTCGATGACAATTTCGTAAAGCGTTTTTAGCTTCGATTGCAGAGCAAACATTTTAAACGGAGTACGAATTATTTTAAGTAAAAACAACCATTTGTTTATTACTTTCAAACACGTTCAAATTACGATAAAACTTAGCCAGCCATAATGTTGACTGTATCTATGTTTTGCAATATTTCTTAAGTTTCTAAAATTTAATACTTACAAAATATAAACATGAACTTAGGCTACCATTAAAATTAATATTTGAGTATAACAATACTTTTACAACCCGGATAAATAATTGTGAATTGTAAAATGTTCTTTTACGAGTATAATTTAAATTACAGAAAATTTTATCTTTTAAATTTTAACGAGCCTAATTGAAATAAGTTTTATTATAATATATTAATATGGTATTCTTCTTTACTAAGACTATGATGCCAAAGGCAGTATATAAGTGAATCATATCAGTAAAACTAATAACTTATCTATATAAAACATAATTTTGTTTAAATTCACGTTTAAAATAATAATTATTTTTTTTTTCTTTAAATCTGCTTGTTATTTAATTGAGCTGCCGTCCTATAAAGCTTTCTATTTGAATAAATTAGATTAAAAAAAATACATATTTCAGTTATCATTGTTATTTTGGTGTAACCATGTTTACGTTTGACAAATTTTATTCTTTTTTTTTTCAATTTGTACTTTTTATCCATGACGTAATCTGGAGCTTTATCGAGTATAGACCATTGATAATAATAAAGGTCTTAAATAGTGCCAAAGTTATATAAATTTAAATGTTGGTGGTTTAAATCGCGGTCAATATAATATTTTTTTGGAATATAAAATTATATAAGATGTACGGTTTGATCCGTCCATCAACGAAAGGCTGAATTCACTTTCGTATTAACAGAAAAAAATGTGGACACATTTGAAAACAATTATCATAAATATTTAACACTTCTGATTATAGTTAATCTACACAAAAAATTACCACCCGATTTATCACTTAACACTGCATTACATAAATAAACAAAGCTTAAATTACGATTTAAGTCGTATACGACTATATTAAAAACTTCTCATTCGCTATTAGGAATATCCTTATCAACCGTGGGTTTACACTGCTAAAATATATACAAAAACATTTCGTCATCCCTCTCGCACTCTATTAGAAAATAGAGATAGAAATATGCTTTTGTAATTATCAGAATTTCGGTAGGAAACCTACGATAGTATGCGTAGGACAATTTACTTTGAAATATTCAATTTAAAAGAAAATAAAACACATTAGTCATATATTATACTTCTGCTATCAACTCGTGTAACCACACCTGTATTAAAATCTGTTTAAATATTTGAAACTTTTTATTTATGTTCACTATTACTATAGATATTTAAAATGCCTATAATTAATTTTAATGTTGTTCTTCAAATGACTGATTTACACAATCGTTTCGTTGAATATTGTATTTATATGTAAGACTACATCGTATATTTATATGTTAACTACTTAGTCTTGTATGCGATGTTTAAGAATAAAAAAAACGTAGAGATAAATTAGTAATTCATAAAAATAATAAGTAACGCAAGTCTGGTTCACTTCAATATGGATTTTAGATCTATTCCTCTGGGACACATTAATGTCGTTCATCGTGAATCAGGCTTGTATAAACAATTTAATTCCATAATAGATGTGTTTAATTAAATGTATTTACTTAAGATAAATGTACCCCAATGTCAAGGTAAATGTTTGTTAAATAAATGAAAAAAAGTAAATCGTGAGTTTTATTTCGTATTACCTATCGCCCACTACTCCATCCTGAGCAAAATTTAAAAAAAACTTAATAAGTAGCCTATATTAAATTATTCAAACTTTCGTGAGATATTATACTAAATTGATATAAAAACGGCTAAACTCACGTATCACCGCGGTGCCGCCACCGGACGAATATACGTGAGTGTTTAGTCGTTTTTATATCAATTTAGCCTATATTATATGCGCTAAACTCCAGCCAAAAATCAGAGAACCATTCAGTGATACCTTGTAACAAATATCCATCCATCCAAACATTTGTATTTACAAAATTAGTAAGCCTAACTTTGTAGTATGTTAACATTTTATACATCTTGATTTTATATCAGAAAATCTCCAGCCACGTGGCAATAAACTGAAATATAATAAACAACTAAGACCGATCATCGTAGCGATCTTTGATGGGCCTTGGGGAGGCCTACGCCTAGCAATGGGCTCATGGCTGACAAGAAGAAACATTCTTTCATCCAAACTTTTGCACGATTAAAAATTTTAATAACTTTGTATTCATATGCATATTTAGAAGCAGGTACTTCAATAACAGATTCAGAATAAAAGGAAATAATCATAACTACAATGTCTTCTGCTTATTGTTACGCTGAGTTTATAAATTACTTTAGTTTAGTTTGCTTTTAGTTCAGGTAAATGGTTATTACTAATGTTTTAGACTTGCAGTCGCTTAATGTCAACCAACACAGTATTAGAGTAGCTTTTCTTTCTCTTTTCTAATAATTTCAGTAAGGAACCAAGAAAGCTGCGTCAGTCTTTCCAAACAATAAAAGTAGTCTTCGAGGAAATAGTGAATCGGTATTTGCTAAGCGATTGCGCTTTAACAATAAGTGAGATTGTTCTCAAGCACTGGCTTCCTATAATGGAAAGAATATTTTATTTATTCTCTCTATACAATAGACGAAATGTTGCGATAATAACTATATTTAATATAATACTGTCGTTCTGAAATGTCTTATCTGGATATCTTGAACTAACTTAATTACTAATTTTAAATAGAAAAATCTACGAGTATCACCACTGCAAAAACACCAAAAAAGATAAATGAGATCATTCGGCAAATGTAACGGAAATATGCTGAAATCTTTTTTCGTCATTTGTTGGAAGGCGGAGAGCGAACCGCGCCGAGTGTCAGCGAGGATTTTTTTCCCCAAGATGTCATAAATCAGATGGCGGCAGATGGTGTTGACCTACACAATTATTGCCATGTTTCTAGCTAAGAATTATTATTGCCTTTACTCTCAGGGCTCACTTTTCATATAATAATTCTTGACAATTTTTGCCTTCGATAGTCGCTTTGTGACCTGAGCTTGAGTCAAATAGCCAAAGAAATATTTCTTAATAAAAAGCCCGTGCTCTACTTGAAACACATTCCGTAAATAAATAAGATGTTATTTGCTTCAACTTTCTTGACTTTAACATCTAGCTTAACTATTCAGGCATGACTGTTACTATATGAAAAATTACTTTCGTACTACTTTTGTTTATTATTTTTACCTTCTACTTTTATAAGAACTTTTTTATTACAAGTAGATGTTTCTATCGTTTATGTGAAGTTAAAATAACAGATATTACTAAAATGAATGCAATTTCTATAATCTTATATGGTACAATTATTTCCAAGCACGAGATATGGTGTGTGTGAGTGCTAAACTCGACGATCCAAGGACGAATTGTGTCGGGATTCGCACCTTCAACACAATAATACCCCACTCGCATTATTTCCAAACTTACATATTCTTCTTCTTCTTCGTATTTTTCATTACGGAAGATCGTACTTGTCTTGATATGCTTTAACGGTTATGTCGACCAGCTGCCTCCACGTCGTCCTGTATTCGGCTTGTATCAGGGCAGTCGTAATATTGATATTGTCTATTACTTGTAGAAAAATATTATTGTATATCCATAATACTGTTCTTTGGAGATTGGAAAAGAACGTCAAATTGCATTCCACATTAAAATAGTACAGATAAACCAATTAACTAAACTCCATCGCCATTTACACAATACTGATAAAAATACTATTTTCTATTACATATTTGTAAAGGTTAGTGGTTAAGTGTAGTAAAATATTCTACATATTAATCGAGAAAAACCTTTTAAAGATTTTTCTGCATACGTTTTCCAACTGAATAG